TACTTACTGATGAAGATCAAAGACCAGAGTCTTCATTGTGTGTTGCACTTCAGTGTAAAGAAAACAAAAATCCTCACCACTGGACCAATAAATAACATCATGATAAATGGAGAAAAGATTGAAGTTGTCAAAGAGTTCATTTTTCTTGGATCTACAACCAACACTCAAGGAGGCAACAGTCAAGAAATCAAATGTACTGCATTAGGCTAATCTGTTGCACAAGACTTCGTTAAAGTGTTCAAAAGCAAAGATGACACTTTAAGGACTAAGGTATGCCTGACCCAAGCCACAGCATTTTCAATCACCTCGCATGCCTGTGAAAGTTGGACAATGAATAAAATAAGGAAGACCATAGAAGAATTGATGAATCTGAGTTATGGTGTTGGAGAAGAATTTTGAAAGCACCATGAACTGCCAGAAAAGTTCTTAGAAGCAAGGATGGCTAAACTTCATCTCTCATACTGCATACTTATTATCAAGAGGGACCAATCCCAAGAGAAGGACCTTATGCTTGGTAGAATGTAGGGTGAGTGGAAAAGAAGAAGAACCCAATGAGATGGAATGACAGAGTGACAGCAGCAGTGGACTTAGCCATAACAATAATTGTGAGGAAAGTGCAGGACAAAGCATTGTTTCACTCTGTTGTGTGTAGACTCACTATGAAATGGAACAGACTCAATGGCATCTAACAACAACAAGAAAGGAAGAAGACTGAGAAGATGGGTTGTGTGTGTATATAGCATTCCAGGAACTGGGAATGATACATGTGAAAATCTGTAAGATAATCAATGTTAACCAATGATACACAAAGATATTAAGAATTCTCCATATATTTATCTTCTCCACTAGACATTATTTTGTTACCCTTATCTTTTCACCTGTTTATTCAAGTTTTTTCCATGAAAGAAAAAAACAAAAGACTTAAGGGAACTTACTTCTTTCAGATAGCAAAGTAATGGGGAAACCAGAGTTAGCCTTTATTTGATAACTGATTGGCGATGCAGAGGAAACCAAATGGGGATTGCAGGTGGTAGTAATTGGAACAGTAGCAAATGTCACTGGGAAAATGAGAAAATAGAGATGAAAAGAAATAGCTATAGAGCTTCACTCTAAGGCATTTAGAAATCATTGGGAATGAGTACAGAAATATCCAAGTGTAGAATGAGAAGTAGATTTTATATGCTTGCTCCCTTCAACTAGAAGGAGGTGCTTGAAGTTCTGAGCTTTGTGTTGAGAAGGATTGTAAGGTCTGAGGTGAGAAGAAATGAGTCCTGAGATCCAACGGCCATGGTTATGGAAGTAAAGCAAGGCAGGGAGGTTGTGTACGTTTGCTGGTCTGATCTTAATCAATGGATGGCAAATAATTTTAGCAGATGATAATTTCTAGGCTAGTAGGGACTGTGTTGCTGAGTTTTCACTATTGTTTTGCTGATTTAAAGAGCTAAGCACTTCCGGCAAGATGATGGACTAGGCAAATGCACTGCATGAACCCTCTACAACAAAGATACAAGAAACCAAATAAAAGTGACACAGATGAAACTTTTGGCATACTGAACTTGAGAAGAAAGGTTAGAGAGGTAGTCAGAGTGCTTGCTGGGAGGAGAGGCTCAGCAGGGACAAGGAGACAATGAGAGAGACTGTGGAATGACTGGTCTGACGTGGCTTGACCATCAGTGAGCAGCTTTGGCAGTGGCTTGGAAAAGCAGAGTGGTGCATATGCTGGGAAAAGTGTGATTGATTCTTTTTCTGCACTTTCCCCTGATGATCAAAAGTGTGGCCCACCCTCATCCACCCACAGGGCAGACCCTGAACTCCAGGAGTAAGAGTCATGCCATTGGGAGCCATGCCAGTGTGATGTGGGGGCAGGCTGTGCAGCTTTGATGTACCAATTTGGTGCCTGGATTCAGATAGGTTCAGCTCCAGACCACAGCTTTCCTGTGGTCTTAGCAGACACTCGGACTAGCTTCACTGAGGGTACCCACGAACTACTTCCGGATTGAGTGCCCTGAATATAGATAACTCTGAGACCAATAGGAACTCCTCTAGACCCAGGAACTCTGCTGTCACAACCCTTTCCCAACCACCTTGTGAGCTCCTAGAAGCCCACCAGAAGATTTTCCCTGAGTCCAATAACTGCACTGTTTGGTTTTACAAATATTGCAACCCCATAAGGCTTCTGAAGCAACAATTTTAGCTCACCCAAAGAAACAAAAGAAAATGGCCAAAGATACAGAGCCAGAAAACAAATGGCCAAGATGCAGAGCCAGAAAACATTTCTGAAGAAGAAAATGTAACAGAAAGATCAAGGAAAGTAAGAAGAACACAATAAAACTTCAGAAGAATTCAGGGACAAACAGAAATAATAAATGCAAAATTTGAAACAATACAAAACCTGCAATTAGAAATCCAGAAGATTAATACTAAGATATCAAAAATGGATAATACACTGAAAGGGCAAAAGAGTAGCTGTAAAGCAATGGAAGCCTAAATTAGTGAGCTTGAAGAGAAATCTCTCAATACTAGTATGCTAGGAGTACAAACAGAAAAAAGAATGAAAAAATTCAAAGTAAGCTTAAGAGTTATGTGAGTCACCAAGAAAAGGAACAACTTATGGGTGGTCAGATTCCAGAACAGCAAGAGACAAACACAGAAAAATTGTCAAAGAGTTTTTGGAAGAAAATTTCCCTAACATCATGAAAGATGAGAAGATAAGCATACAAGAAGCACAACGAATGCCAAATATGGTATATCCCAACAGATCTGTGTTGGAAGAAGTGCAGCCAGAGTGCTCCTTGGAGGCCAGGATGATCAAACTTGGTCTCTCATACTTTGGACACATTGTCAGGAGGGACCAGTCACTGGAGAAGGATATCATGTGTGGTAAAATGGAGGGTCAGAGAAAAAGAGGAAGACCCCCAGTGAGATGGACTGGCAAAGTGACAACATCAATAGGGTCAAGCATAGCAACGATTTTGAGGTTGGCCCAGGACTGGGCAGTGTTTCATTCTGATATGCATAGGGTTGCTATGTGTCGGTACTGCGTAGTGGTTACGAATCGGGCTGCGAACCGGAAGGTCAGCAGTTCGAAACTACCAGCTGCTCCGCGGGAGAAAGATGAGGCGATCTGCTCCCGTAAAGATTTACAGCCTCGGAAACCCTATTCAGGGTCGCTATGGGTCGAAACCGACTCGATGGCACTTAACAACAACAACAACAACAACAACACATATCTCAGGTTGCATAAGTGTCTTCCTCCAATCCGATTGTCATATTCTTCTTCATATAATCCAACTTCTTTGATTATTTCCTCAGCATACTGATTAAGTATGATGAAAGGATATAATCCTGGCACACAACTTTCCTTATTTTAAACCATTCAGTATTCCCTTGTTCTGTCTGACCAGCTGCTTCTTGGTCTATGTACAGGCCCTCAGAAGTATGATAAAATCTTCTGGAATGATCATTCTTTGCAATATTATCCATAGTCTGTTATGATCCACATAGTCTAATACCTTTGAATAGTCAATAAAACACAAGTAAACATCTTTGTGGTACTCTCTGCTTTCCACCAGTATCAATTGGACATCAACCAAAATCAGATATCATTTATATCCTCTTCTGAATTTAGCTTGAATTTCTGGCAGTTCCCCATTGATGTACTGATGCAGCCATTTTAAAATTATCTTCAGTAATATTTTATTTGCATGTGATATTAGTGATATTGTTCAATGATTTCACCATTCCGTTGGATCACCCCTCTTTGGAATGGGCACAAATATGGATCTTTTCCATCAGCTGGTCAGGTAGTTGCCTTCCAAATTTCTTGGTATAGCTGAGTGAGCACCTCCAGTGATGCATCTATTTATTGAAACATCTCAATTTTTATTTGGTCAATTTGTGGAGTTTTGTTTTTTTCCAATGACTTCAATGTAGCTTAGAATTTTCATTCAATACCATCAGTTCTTGATCAATCTGCTGTTGTAGTTAAGTGCTATCATATGGTGGTTGGTGGTTATGTGCCGTGAAGTCAGTTCCAACTCATAGTGACCCTGTATAGTGTTTCCAATATTGTAAATCTTTACTGGAGCAGAAAGCTTCATCTTTCTCTCACAGAACCGCTGGTAGTTTTGAACTGTTGACCATGAGATTAACAGCCCGACTCATAACGACTATGTTACCAGAGCAGCTTCATGTGGTATCTACCTCTCAAAATAATTAAACATTGACTAATTCTTTTTGATACAGTGGTTCTGTGTAATCCTTCCATCTTCTTTTGATGCTTCTTACATCATTCACTACCTTGCCCCTTTGTTGCTGTTAAGTGCCATCGAGTCGATTTCAACTCATAGTGACCCTGTATAGTGTTTCCGAGGAATGGCTAGTGAGCTTGAACCTCAACCTTGTGGTTCAAACTGCCTTTGCAGTACAATGCATTAACCTACAGTGCCACACCAGGACACATTTGATTTTTTTCCCCCATAGAATCCTTCAATATTGTGAGTCGAAGTTTGAATTTTTTCTTCAGTTCTTTCCGCTTGAAAACTGCTGAATGTGGCTCCACACTAGACTATGATAAATCTGATCAGTTTTTTTAATGATCCTATTGAGAAGTTAACTCAATCATGTAAAGTGAGTTTTTTAAATGGGGCATGTAAATACCAAAAAATCAATATACAAATAAGGTGTTTTAAGTTTCCTTTTGTTTTTTAAAGTTAACTACTTCTTCTCTACTGAGCCTAGTAATTAAAGGTAGTGCTACTGTTGTAGTTATGTGCCATGGAGTCTGTATCGACCCAGAGAGACCCTATACACAACAGAACGAAACACTGCCTGGTCCTGTGCCAACCTCACCATCATTGCTACGCAATGATTTTAAGTATCTGTCCCAAGTGAAGAACATCAAAGTGTTAAGTGTAAATTTGGCCTTAGTCTTTTTCATTATTCCTAAGTTTATATCAGACAATACTGTAAGTTATTCTTATTTTCTTTGTTTATTTTACCTCTTCATATATTCCAGTGCATTCATAGTAGTCTCTGGAGGGAAGGCCAAGTCGAGGCTGATCAAGCTATAAAAAACACAAAGCATAAAGAAGAATAAACCAATGAGCTGAGAAAGAACAGCTGAACAAAATACAATCATGGCTATCTATGAGCAAGATAATAATCTTCTTGCTTTTTATATGGGTTATATATAATCAGACACTGAATGCACATGTAATCAGGAAATGAGTTGTACTGATGGGTAGTTACAAAGCCTATATAATTGTGCTTCAGATATTTGGAGAAAGCAGAAGAGAACTTTTCTCAGTAGAAAAGTCTATTGAGAAAGATTGTTTCTGTAAAGGTACTGCAAAGAATGATTTCTCTCACTGGACCATTTCCTGGTTCCACCTGGCTCCACTCTAGACTATGATAAATCTGAGTGCTCCAGTCATTTTTAGTGCAGAATAGAAAGAGGAGATAAATGAAGACATGTTATAATCTAGAATTAGGATGTTTCTAAATTGCACATTTATAGAACCTTTTCGTTTCTTGAAATTGCAATACATTTATTCTTCACTTACTGACATGGTTAGGTTCCAAAGATCAGATTATGCGAAAATCAACATTATGTGAAAATGAAGGCGGACCACATCACCTCACCCCCACACCTGTACTGTGAATGTCTGGCCCTTGTCTGAGGTCACCTGAGACCGCTGCGTCCACCCCACTACTGCCTGCAGGACAGAGCTGCCAGTCTTTCAGAGCAGGGTGGCCCAAACACTGCCCTTCCTCCCCATTCCTGGGGATCCCACCCTCTCTTACCCTCACCATAAGGATTGTCCTAGCTCATCCCTTCAAAGAACCCAAAATGCCCTTGGTGGGCAGAAGGGTCTAGGTGCGAAATGTGGCATGCATAATGCCTAATAGGTTTCCCCTCTGGCCCCTCACCCAAATATCTCCCAGATCTTACTGGGTGGCCCTGGCCCCCTCCACCACCATGTCCCTATGAGAATTGACAATTCAGATCACCCTCTGAGTCTGAGATGGCCAGGCCCAGCCTCTGTCCTTGTCCTAAAACTGCAGCTGCCTCTGGCCACTCATCTGCTGGTCCCACCCCCACCCAGGTAACCTGTTCCACCCCCAGGAGCAAACATAAAGGAAGCCTAAGGGGCTGCACAGGTGCTGACTAACTGACGCGAGGTTCCATGGTCCTGGGCATCTGAGTGCCTCATCTCAGGTCTCCTGACAGAGTCTGTCTCAGTGCTGCTGCCCCTGGCAGCTGGGAGCTAGGACCAGAACCCAGTGTCTCACTTTTTCCATAGCACAGAGAGTGGCCCACATTCACCTTCAGGACTCTGGCTGACACTGCCCCAGCCTCAGTCCCTTGTGGGTACCCAGGGTCCTTCAGGCAGCATCCTGTCCTTGCTGGGCCCACTCCAGCCCCTTTCCTGCTTTGCCTAAGGGCCTGGTAGCTCAGTGAGACTATAGCCCCTCTCCTCCTGTTCCTGTTGTTAAGTGCAGTCAAGTTGGTTCTGACTCATAGCAATCCTATATGGGATTCCCAAGGAGCATTTGGTGGTTTTGAACCACCAATCTTGTGCTTAGCAGTCCAGTGTTTACCTTACTGTGCGACAGCATGTAGTACGAGCTTCCTATCAATGTGCACATGTCAGGGATCTCAGCATTTGTTACAGTCAAATGTGCATCATTAATGCACAAAATAGGTAGAATTTTTTACTATTGTGTGTGAGTGTGAAATGTCAGATAACAAGACAGTCATTGAATGAGGAGTAGGTGTATTTTCCCTTGGGTCAGGGAGGGGGACTTTCTTCTACTCCTACTGTCAGTTGGAATCCATTCCTATTGGTGGAAGGAGGTCTTATCTGTCAAGTTCATTTGGGTGAGTTGAAAAATGGACATTCTGGCAAGTATTATTTTGTGATCGACCACACTGAAGGAATGGAGATTTCTCCTTTGCCAGTCCCAATGTTGTTCAGAAGGCTCCAGACACCCACTAAAGAGTGAAGAGAAAATTTAGGTCAGTTCTAGTGTGTGGTTCACCTTGGATCTCCAAGTGACAGTTACCTGAACATTTAGGTAACTGTGAGATTGTGTCCCATTCACTTCATGGCAAGATGGGGAAGAAGGTAAGCCAGGCAATTTATGATCTAAAGTGAGAATGCTTATACCTAAGAACACAACTCAAAAAGGTCTGGGAAAGTAGCCCCACATTGAAGGGCCTGCTCCTTCTCAGCCTGCCAGCCTTTCTTACTTCATTTTTCACTGTGATTTTGCAGTGCGCTGGCATTTCAGAGTCAAAGGGGGAAAAAATTGGGAGAAATATTAGAAGATGTTTTTGTGGTTATGTGCCATTGATTCAGTTCCAACTCATAGCAACCTTGCATAGGGTTTCTGAGGAGCAGCTTGTGGGTTTGAACTGCTGACCTTGTGGTTCGCATTCCAGTGCTGATCCTACAGTGCCACATCAGGACTCCATATTAGATAAGAGCTGAAGTCAATCTCTTCCTGATTTGAATACAAATGACCCAAGGGTCTATGCAATAATGAGCTGATCTTGTAACTTGTAACATTGGACTTAGTTTCTTGTACAAATTACTTTTGTCCATTCCAATGTACTCTTTTTTAGTCTCTTCTTGGGTAGCACCTAAATAGTTAACATTAAAAAGACATAAAACAAAACAAAATCTCTCTACTAAAGCCACTGGAGTCCTGGTGTGGCACTATAAGGTAAGCACTGCAGTGTACCTATAAAGTCAGTGGCTCCAGCCCACCGATCATACCTGGGAAACTCTACACATGGTCGTTATGAGTCAGAACAAACTCAACAGCACTTAGCAACAAGAGCCATTTTAGAAGAATGGTACTTTATCTACTTTATTAAGAAAACTGTTAGTTATTTTTCATACAGAACCAAAATTATGTTCAAAATCCCTTTTCTGAGGTTTTTTTAAAAAAAAAACACAAATAGGACTTCTGGTTTCCAGTCCCACAAAGCTTATACAAATCCAAGTAGGTTCTTGTATGAATACACAGAGAAATCAGTTGCTTCTTTAAGAAGGAGGGATCTACGGTTTTTCAATTCTTTTCATTTGTTTTATGAAGGAAGACATATCTACAACAGAAGTAACAGGAAAAAAGAGATAAATGTCTGTAACAGAGTGGTAAGAAAATGCTTTTAAACTGGGAATCCAAATCTCAGGGCGAGAGTGAATTTACTATCACCTTGCCCAGGCAATTCCAATTAGAATATGCATGATTTCTTAAATATCAGTAATAACAATGTGTGGGGCCGTTTTGTCACAATCTGAAGATATCTCGGGCTAACTGCCTCACAAACTTACATGAATTATGTGGTTCATAGAATTCTTATCATCGGTGCCAACAAAAAAATTAATCAGGACTTTTTTCCCGTACTTAGAATTCAGTCGTGCAATAGATTTCTCAGCTGTCCAGGAAGCACCTAAAGCAATGAAAGGTAAAATATATCCTTAGAAGCTTTAGTACATTAACACAATAATATACTATAATGTAGATTATTATATGGGAACTATTTTTAAGAAGAAAAGAAAGAAAAATTGCTTTACCATGTGTTTGTTCCCAGTTTTCTGTGGCTACTGGCCAGTCATATATATCTGGTAACAGTTTGAGCAATGGATCTCCACCTCTGTTATCAATAGCAGCTTTTGAACAAACAACAAAAATAAATTCAATATAAACTTATGCATATTTTCTCAATAAGTATTCACACTTCTGAGATTGAATAAGAGTACTTACATTCATTTATACAAGACCTGTACAGTGTTTTTGCCTTCTGCACTGCTACTATATCTTCAGGTTTGGGTTCCTCAAGGACATCTGAAAATAGGACATTTAATAAAATGCATCAACATAATAGCTCATTTGCAGCTGTAATTAACATTTTCAATGTAGGTTCAGCAAAAACTCTGCTTTACTAGATATATGTTCCCTCCCTCCCTTACTCCAACATTCTAGAGGACAAACCAAATCCCTTATCAGATCATTATTCCTAGTGCAAAATCAGGAATTAGTTTTATTAGTCAAGTTAGATGAAAGTGTTTTTGACTAGATTATCTTTGTGTGTGTGTTAGCAGTGATGTGCATGTTTACTGATCTGTCCTAGAGAATAGTCATTTATCTTGAAACTGAGATTTAAAAGAAAGCAAGTAACAATACAAAGGAATTTGGAATTTCAAATAGATGGTTCTCTTGACAATTGGAAAATTATTATCTTTATATGATTTTACTCTTCATACTCTAAGTGAATCCTTCTCATTGTGTAGATGTTAGAAACTAGCAAAGATTGTTTTTCTACAAAGTAACTTCTAGAAGAAAACAGAATAATGAAAGATAGTACAGGATGACCATGGACTTTCTTAACTTCCAAAGGAAAGTGCCTTAGCTGGGTTAGAATCAGTTGATCAATTCTGAGGAGTAATCTTAGAATATATATATATATATATATATATATAAAATGTCCGTTAGTGCAACCTCAACACCCAGGTAGGGATAGGGGAACCAGGTGGAGAAGTGTATGGCAATCATTTATTTGTTTTCTTCTATAACATAGCATAAAGACAATACCTCCAGGGATGATACAGAGCATACCATGTGTGCACCTACAAAGGAAATCAGTAGTCTACACATCTGCCTCAGTGTGTACCTACCTTGGAGTGACTCTGGTGGGCCACAAAATCTGACTTTGATGTTTTGCAAACTGCTCTGTGATGATTAATAGTTGTATCTTAAAAGGAGGATACATTAGGAGATAAATCTTTAGTGCACACAAACAAACTTGACCAACCTTTCAAAACAACTTCTAGTTCATCTCTTAAAATGTCAAAGTTACTGTAACGGGAACTGGTTTCAGGAATGATGTTGCGTTTCAACCAGCCTCCACAAGCGTATTTGAAAAAATCTGTACAGGGTTCAACAGTGGGATCCATGTTCTCAATCAGTCGAGCAGCTGAAAGACCAGATAAAGGACCAGGTAAAAACTAGGGTTGTATATCTTAAGCACTTTCAAAGGGGAAGAAAGATACACATTGTTTAATCTTTACTATTAAGCACTCTAGACCAACATTCCTTTTTATAACTTATGTAACTGATTCATTGGAATGATGAATACCAGCTGTGTGTTGACTGACTTATTCTTGAGAGGTCTGGGTTCCCCTCACTTCTCTTCTCAAGTAACTGAGGTTCTTACTAGTTCCTATCTCAGAAAAAAGAGTGGCCTACTTTGTTTTGGTTGTCACCTGCATGGAGTAAACATAATACCGCTCTTTACGCTTATAATGTTAGTTGTTGATTCTGCTCTTACAAGTGCTGAGACGTAAAAGTCTTTGAGACTTCAAAGGATGAAGAACTGTTAATGGATTTAGCATTATAGTAAGGATCCTAAGCTATCATTATTACTTCTTGGACCTTGCTTACAAGATATTTGCAATTTAAACCTGACATTTGATTTACATTTGTTTATGTATGTAGCATCTGTCATTAAAAAATGGTCTCTATCAGTTTGCTAGTTTGTCTATGTCCACTCTGCAAATCAACCAGCTTTGGATATTTACAAGTAACTGTGCTAGGTACTGTAGTTAGGAGAAAAATTTCCAAAACATGAATTATTACCAACTGAACAGAAGAATAAAATATGCACAGGAGGGTCCAATGCCCACAATTTTTATATCTTGAAAAATTAAAGAAAACCTTGCCACTAGCCTCTCAACTGTTTTTCTAACACACGTTGAATTGTTTGTCAGTGAAGACAAAAGAGCAACCGAGAATTCAGCTCTATCAAGATAGTTCTCAAACAAGCTTTTGAAAATCCTTTACTTTCTAAAGTAATTAATCAATTAATTAAAAACTTCAAACAAGTGCTGAGCTGTGTGGAGTTTTTCTACTTGGTCTGGTAAATGTGCTTTCCAGCTGAGCTTCAAGCTTTCATTTCCAACCACCTTCTGGTCTTTCTGGGCAGTCTCCAAGCCAGTTCCTCTCTTGGCTTTTATACTTTGGTGCACAGCACAGTTATCATGGCTTTCTAGGTCTGAAACCTTGAGTAAAACTCTGTGTTTCTCCCTCATCGGGGTAATTTCTTCTCTTTTGCCTACCTCTTTCTCTCTATATATAGTGTCAACTTTGTTTATACTTTCATTCTTTTTTGACAAGAATCTACACACCATGCATCTCTCCCTACTCTTATACACTGTGCACATCTTTTACAGAGTAAACTTCCTTAAAAAGAAAAGCATTTTACACTGGCTACTCCTTTTGTCGAAATCCTGGTGTGATGCTGTGTGTTAATGCATCAGACTGCAAAGCCACTTGAACTGCAAGGTCAGTGGTTCAAGCTCACCAGCTGCTCCTTGGAAACCCTATACAGGGTCGCTATGGGTCGGAATCGACTTGACGGAACTTCACAACAACAACAACAACACTATTTTTGTCAGTAGCTGGGCATTGTCCAGACTAAACAAGTTATTTAATTTGGCCTCTAAACCTTTACCAGACTCAATGTACTTCTCTACTATCTCAGTTTTATCCTTTTTACTCTTTTAGACAAACTCTCTTCCCCAACCAGGTGGAAATGCCCGATGTGCCACAAACACTCCAAGGGTTTTCATACCGGTGTGCCTTTGTTCCTGGCCCTTACTCTAACCAGAACAGTCCTCAGTATCCTACCACTGTAACTTTCCCTCTGCTTCCCTCTAAATCCTACTCATTCCCAGAAGCTGTCAGGACTTCAAGCCTAAGTGAATATTTGCCCTGCTGTTTTCTGTTTTATTCATTCTTTAATGCATACGTTATGCTACTTTGCCTTCCCAGTAACTGCCTTCCCAGCAAGCCAGTTGATGGTATGAACCTCTTTGTATTCCCATCACCCAACTAGCACAGACCTAGGTAACTGAGGTGCAATATGACTACATGTGAGTATCACCGAATCACTGTTACTCCCTCCTCAAACACATCCCTCTCATTTGACCATCTTCCTTCACCTGCCTATTGTTCCCATTGTATTTCAGGTCCTCATTCTCCCAGGCTCTACTGATGCCCTCATGCCCAAGTTATGACCCTGGACCTCTTTACAACTCAGTCAGATAAGCTTTCTCATTTTTGTCAGCATACAATTCCACCACTCACAGGTTTCCAATACAGCTCTATTGCAGTCAGAATAAAATCTAGATTCCACAGCATACTCTAACCCTAGTATATATCAAGTGACACTTCTCTTCCATTATTTTCTCACATGAGCCCTCTTTTCTCCAGTTAAAAACCAGCTGCCATTAAGTCAATTCCAGCTCACAACCGCCCTGTGTGTGTCATAGTAGAACTGAACTCCATAGAGTTTTCAGCGGCTGAGTTTTCAAGAAGCAGGTTGCCAGGCCTCTCTTCTGAGGTGCTTCTGGGTGGGTTTGAACTGCCAACTTCACAGCAGCCCAGCGCTTAATCACTTGTGTCACTCAGGGAGTACATGTGCTCCAATTAAACAAGTGTCTTCCAATTCTGATATGAAATACTTTTATAGTTTCCTAATTCTCTAACTTTGACATGTTGCCCCAGTTCCGGACCCCTGATGACATTTCCTCTTTTCATTTCTAATATGAAACTTCATATTAGAAATCACAGGCATTTTCAAAGTCTAGTTTAAATCTGTGGCACTGTAGGATGAGCACTTGGCCACAAGGTCAGTTTTGGCTACAAGGTTGGCAGTTCAAACTCACCAGCTGGTCCTCAGAAACCCTATACAGAGTCACTAAGAGTCAGAACCAATTCGAAGGCACTGAACAACAATAACACTTCATAAAGGATTGTCCTTAGCGAGTCCTTATCAGGTTGCATGACTGTCTTTGTCTGGAGGCAAATTCAGCATTTCCTCCTTTGGAATGTCTTTTCCAGTTCTCTCATAGAGCCAAACACTGTGCTCAATAGAGACTTTAACTGAAATCTAAGGGAAAGATTAGGAAATTGACCTAAAATGATAGAAAAAGAAAATCCCTTGAACTTTGAAGAAAATAATATATGATGACAGGGGAAATGGAAATACATAGGGTTATCATGTAAAGTGAGGAACCAGAAAAATGGAGACCGAAAGAAATGCTAACTAAAAATGTTCTAAGAACACATTTTATACGATTTTATATAACGCTTCTCTTTTAAAATACTTAAAAAATAAACAGAAACTTAATGTTGTAAAGTCCAATGTCATTTTAGAAGCAAGTGTTATTTTCTTCCCCTCTCTCAGGGAAATGGATGGTGTATGTCATAATACTACAACAGCAATAAACTCCTACTCAGGAGACTAATGATGAACAATTCTTGTTGACTGTTTAGAAATAGTACCTGCCCTTTGAAACACCTCAAAAAAAAAAAGATGAATGGTGGATCCAGTTCTGTGCTTGTGAATGCAAATCCACTGCCCACATGAATTCAACTGTACTTTCTTTCCACAAAGAACTATTGCCCTTCCCCTCCTAGCTTGAATTTACTCACCTGCCAGTACAGTTAAACTACACTAGCATCTGAACAACAAACTAAAGTAGCAGTATTTCCTTTGACCACACTGCTCATCTGAGCAGGGGACTTCGAATCACTTCAAAGAGAGTTCTCTAACCTGATGAATATTTTGGGGCCATGGGCCAAGGCAACTCATGGGCTAGCACTTTTAAGCTGGGTCTTTGATCAACTTTCCTTTAATCTCTTATCGTGGGTTTGATTCTCATTTTGCACCTTATCCTCCGGACCTCCTCTGTTGCTGACTTTTCTTTGAAGTCAGCAGTAGACCTGTGGGCAGAAGGGCCGTAGGAAACAGACGCATAACTGTCAAACTAATTGTAATTGTTTTTATGTTTTGTACTTTGTTTTGAATTACTCAGCCTCTCCACATAGCCACACCTGGGTTCTTCAGATGTTTCCTTATCTGTGGGTCTCTGACTTCTGAGTAAACAAATGTGGTTTCAAAACAAACACAAATCATTCACTTAAAGAAGTAGACATTAATAATGATGTGGATTTCTGGTGTGGCGTTGTGGGTTAATGTGCCAGACTGCAAAGCCGTTTGAACTAGGAGGTCAGTGGTTCAAGCTTACCAGTCACTCCTTGGAAATTCTATATAGGGTTGCTATGGGTCAGAACCGACTCGACAGCACTTAACAGCAACAATAACAATGATGACGTAGCAAAGGCAAATGAACTGATGTGGAATTTTTGGCCAGATATTGTAAAGTGAAAGGAATAGTACACTATGATTTCTAAAAACCTGAATAAACGCACAGAAAGTTTATAAGGATATATTCTATGGTGTTTACAGCAGTTATATCTGAGTGGAGTATGTTTAATTTTTTATTATTTGCTTATCTTTATTTTCCAATTGGTATTATATGAATAGGCATTGCTTCTGCAATAAAAAAAAGTTTATTTTTAATTTAAGAAAATAGTCACAGAGTGACAAGAAAAATAAACTTCTATTAATAATGAGTTATTTCTTATGAATGACAATTCTGAATGTTCTGGGCTGATAATAAATGACACACCATCCCCCCCCACCCCCACCCCCCAGTTAATCTTCTTGTAACATTCTCCCAACTTATTTTATTATGGAATTTAAAAAACAAGCTGAACTACCATTTGAGAAGTTTATTAATTACTATATTTATTACTGAGTATCTGTTGTGTATGTATGGGTTGGGAGATGTTATACATGCTGGGAAAATGCTTGAGTTCTGAAGATCTCTGGATAGCATAAACAGCGTGCATTAGATTGTTGTTGTTGTTGTTAAGTGCCGTCGAGTCGGTTCCGACCCATAGCGACCCTGTACAGGGTTTCCGAGGGTGTAAATC